CCTCCTCCTCTTCTTCCTCCTCCTCCTCTCTGCCAAGCACACTTCCTCCTAGCACTGATGATGTTCCCTAATTGGGTCATGAAACATCTGTAAAAAACCCCCCACCAAGCTCAGAGAGCCCCCAGGACTCCACAATTCAACCCTGAGCTACAAATATTCTCCTTTATTGAAGGCACTGGTTCAAGCACAATTGTGTTACTCTCCAACTGAAAGCACTAATGCTTTAAAACCGTTTAAAACCCTGCTTAATAGTCAATCATATACCTGCAAGTTTTGCGTGCAAGTCACAGAAGCAACACGTGCAAGAAATTTTAGCAGGGTGTGGTGATTTGCTGAGTCTTTACAAAACTGATTCCAGAAGGCCGTGGTGCTTGTCCTTTGTGCAGGCTTGAGACAAGATTGTCCAGTACTCTTTTTGACCCGTGGATGTGAGCTTTTGTTGTTGTTGTTGTTCTCCCATCTGACTGCGAAAACTATTTTCATCTTGGGAATGAGTTTGATCTGCAGCTGTTTCGGTTAGGAAAGCTCTGCGTTAAAAAGCCACTTATTTTCCGCTTGTAATTCCTTTGGGTCTTTGCTTCTTTCTACGTTTTCCTGTGCTTTGCACAATCTTACTTACCCCAGGAGGAGGAACTCTGGGATGGGACGTTATTATTTTATTATTTTTCTTTTTATTATTTTTCTTGCTTTTATATGGCGTTTTTATATCCATGTAGGCCGCCTTGAGTCACTACGGGTGACTAGGAGGCAGTATACACTTTCCAAATAAATAAATAAGTGATTGTATACATACCTAGGCAGCAATAAAGGAGAATATTTGTAGCTAACGGTTGATACAAGGGATCCTTGGTGCTCTCTGAACTTGGTAAGTTTTTTGCAGACATTTCATGACCCAACTAGGGAACATCATCAGTGCTAGAGGGGAATGGGGATTAAGAAGGAGGAGGAGGAGGAGGAGGAGGAGGAGGAGGAGGAGAAAGACTGTGAGGTCCGTGGTGCTCTCTAGGTAACATCATCAGTGCTGCTGGTAGTAAGGAGTGATGTTTGCTGTCAGCTTAAATTCTGGGGATTTGCCTGTCTGGGTAGGTGGTCTTCTTAGAGATTCATCCCAAGCAAAAAAAATCTCTAAGAGCACCCCCACCTACCCCCAGGCAAGAGACCAGAATATACACTGACAGCAGACCTCACTCCTTAGGAGCACCGATGCTGTTACCTAGCTGAAAGGTCTGCAAGAAAACAAGCAAGCTCAGAAAGCACCATGCATCCTACACTCCTCCTCCTCCCCCTCCCCTGCAAATCCACTTCCTCCTAGCACTGATGATGTTGCCTAGTTGGGTCATGAAATGTCTGCAAGAAAACTACCAAGCTCAGAAAGCACCAAGTACCTCACAGTTGTCTTCCTTCCTTCCTTCCTTCCTTCCTTCCTTCCTTCCTTCCTTCCTTCTTCCCTCCCTCCCTCCTCCTTCCTCCCTCCTCCT